ACCAACGGTTTTTGTGCTTGTTAACCAAATAATTGAAGATGATTCCAATAGCAATCCAGCTACTGACAGTCGCAGATGTTGTTTGAGTCAACATTGCTATTGCTCCCAACGTTACAGGAAGGTTGATAAGTGGAATCCATTTCTGGTTGGGAAAAACTTTATGCAATAGCCATACTATGATAGGCCCCAAAGCACCTCCAAGGAAGAACCATTCAAGGGCAAAGTAATTTTCAAGGCTGCCCGATGTTCTTCTGGGTCCAATCAAGCCCCAGAAAACAGATTCTTGAAAGATGCTTCGGTCAGTAGAGCATTCCCAGGGACTGTGAGGATGGAGCAGATCGCGTTGGCATATATTCTTGACATCATGCATCAACCACCATCCCATTACAAGATTAATTGTTCCAGCCATTATGGTTCCTGTAAACTTTTTTATACAACAATAAGAGAAGGAATTAGATATTTAAATGAAGTGATTGCCCGAGAAGGGATGAGGGAGGACAAAATCTAGCTATATATTCTTACATGCATTTGTGTCAACATCAAGGACAGAGTTTCCAGAGCCTAGAATTCTGATGTTCTTATGCTTCGATATTAAAGTGAAGGAATTGCAAGAATTTAAGATGTACCTACCTCTACTAAAAACCTTGATCTTGGTGGAATTTTCATGTAGTGGCACATCTTGAAATTATTTAGGAAATGAATTGCGTTTGTTGTGCTTATAGCGCCATAAGTCTTGAAGCAGAGATTAGCTATTGGTCTTCCTGGAAGCATCATACCCATGATATACTGTGTGATGACATCAAGTGTGGGTGTCTAGCAATAAAAAGGTATCAAATCATTAAAGAAGTAACTAAAATGATCTAAATTCAAAATATGTTCAGATCTTTAATGTCAAGAGAACGATTATGTTACCTGATTTGTAGTGGCAGTTATAATGCTCATAGGAAGAGTAAAAGCAAATGCTAGACCAATTGCAAAAACCGCACTCCACCAAGGCAGTTGAATTTGGTCTTTCTGAAAGATGCACAGGTGCAGCGTTAGTAGCAAAGACACCCCAAGTATCAGATAAAACCACCAATTGGGTATGTCCTTGTACTTTCTCATCAACTTTGTATGGATATCAACTTTATTCTATTTGAAAGAAGCTCGAAATAGACCAAGTATTTCCCTGTTTTTAGAAAATTTAGTTAAGGCTTTGAGCCAACCAAAAGCAATACAAAATATTAATAATTACTATTAGTAAATTCAAATGCTTTTAAGTTTTGATTACTCACTTTCCATTGGCTGCATCTACATCAACCTCCCTCATGATTTCATCAGCTGCATTCTCGTCCATTGGCACAATTTGAATGAGAAGTAGAGAGAGAGCACCAGGACGGAGAATACAGAGTAAACGGACAGCACAAGAGTATGAGAGACGCAGATTCTGGGATAGGGAACGGTTCCGACGGGATGCGGGAGGTTATGACAAGAGAATCTACAACCAAGTGATTCCTTTCTTCATCACTAACTTCCCAGAGGATTGGTCGTTCGAGCAGATGTGGCAAGCTTTTAATAGGCTAGGTCTCGGAAGGGCACTGGAGATTGATTGCCCGAAGAAGAAGGACAGACTGGGCAGAAGATTTGGGTTCGTCCGATTTCTGGACGTGAAGAATGAAGGTGAACTAGAAAGAAGTTTAAATCAAGTGCGGGTTGGGAATTACTTATTACAAGCAAACAAACCGAGGTTCTCGAAGTGGGATCACCAAGAAAAAATGGATCCTTGCAATATTTCCAAGATTCGAAGCTGGAGGCAATCAGGCATCAACGGTAAAGCTAGAAGGCCAACGTACGCCGAAGTGGTACAAAGACATGGAGCAGCAGAAAGGAATGGAAGCAATGAGTTCTTGTAGACTTTAGGTAAAGATAGGTATTCATTAGAATTTGATGCATTCCCGGTTAGGGAATGAGGAAAGCGGCCCTCTGAAAAGTCTGCTGGGTGAGATATAGAAAGTCTGTAGTGCTAAGTTTTGAATATCAAGTTTAAGAAGGGGTAAATTACACTAATAGTCACTCATCTTTATCATAACTTTCAATTTAGTCACTATCCTTCTAAACTTGTAAATTTAGTCATTGACCTTTCTTTTGATATGCTGCCGTTCATCACCTTTGTTATCTCTTACAAATTCCGTTAAATGATAACATAAATGATAATGTGGCATGTTGGCATGACATTTAATGAAACAAAATTACAGTTTAGCTCAAAAAAATAAAAGTCAATAAGTGACAAGAAAAAAAATATATATTTGCAGCATTAATTTGAATATTTTAATTTTTGAGAATATGATTATCACATTGAGTTAAGAATCAAACTACTTAAAAGATTAGTTATGAAAAGAAAGAGAGTGAAGTGGTCAAAATTAAATATAGAAAACAAATATATAAATAAATTTACTATTAAATTTATGAAGTCAAATTGATTCTAATATTTTTTAATAAATGGAGGTACCCTCATACCTTCTTAATATATTTTTTAAAAATAATTAAAATAGGCAAAAGGTGTAGATTCCCTCTAAAATTGTTGTGTTAAAGCAAATTGTCATGAAAAAAAATGTTGACGTAATTTACCATATCAAATTTTTATTTTTAAGAAATCAACTTAAATTTAACTATTATTATTAACTTTCTGTTAAACTTTAAGAACAATACTTTAACGAAATTTAATGGCAACCATTAAATTTATATTGATTTCTTGAAAATGAAAATTTTAAGTGGCAAAATTATGTTAACATTTTTTTATGATAATTTACTTCAGCACAACAATTTTGACAGGTAATTTACATAATAAACTATTAAAATATATAGAAAATTAAAGAAATATTTTTTAATTGATATGTTATTATTTTGTTACACGACAGTTAAAAATTAATTTATTCGTTAATTTTTAAGAATATTAAGATTATATGGTGTTTCTAATTGATATTTTTTTGCCATCAATTGATTTTTTTGGCAAGATTGTAATTTTGTTTCACTTATGATCACATCATCACCCATCTCATCACTTAACAGAATTATTAAGAGATAAAGGAGGGTGATGAATGGTGCCGGCTTTTTAAAGGAAGGTTAGTGACTATCTATTCAAATTTAGTAGGACAATGACTAAATTGAAAGTTATGATAAAGGTAAATAATTATTTGTGTAATTTATATCTACTAAATTATTTTAATTAATGCTACAAATATGTTATTTTTTTCTTGTTACTTGTTGACTTTTATTTTTTCGAGCTAAACTGTAATTTTGTTTCATTAAATGCCATGCCATTGTACCACATTATCATCTATTTTATCATTTAATGGAATTTCTAAGAGATAACAAAGGTGATGAACAGAAGCATATTAAAAGAAAGGTCAATGACTAAATTTACAAGTTTAGAAAGACAGTGACTAAATTGAAAGTTATGATAAAGGTGAGTGACTATTAGTGTAGTTTACCCAAATAAGAATTGCAAACCTTAAACGGCAGAGAATCTTCAATTTGGGAAACCCTATTGTTTGCGTTGCGTCCCACCTACTGTGGCTCTCATAATTGTGGCTCTCATAATTAGGGAATTCGCAGTAGGGACTCTAAATCTTTTCTTTACAAGTTTTGTTAAGAGTTGGAATGAATAAAAATTCAAAATGCGTATTAAAAGGAAATTCGTCGAAATTGGGAAATTCAACCCAAATACAGTAAGTTTTTACAGTTGTTTGTCACTAGTTTATTGTCTTTTATCTTTATCTTTTGTCTATACAATTCATATGATCAATTAGTGGGACTGAATGCTCTTGTTTATGCTTTGGGCCATGCATTTATTCTATGTGTGGGGACCTTGTATTTAAATTTGCAAAAGCGCTTCTGTGGGTCATGAAAGCTTGACTACTATTGCTATATATATTTCAAGATGTTTAAATATTTTATTTTATAATCTAATTCTTTGTGAATATAAATAATTTTGTTTTCTAGTTAGTTGCATATTTTGATATTTTTATCTTGCTTCGTATTACAATGGTTTTTTCTTCACCATATGTTTCACCTTTTTTTTCTTTTTATAGGTGAGAACTTTGAATATTTTACAATTGAAATGCACCACGGGGGAATTTTAGTCTTGGGAACAGTCAATATAGAGGCGGTGGAATAAACTTTGTGGACTATTGTGGTGTTGATGAAATGTCACCCCTGGAGCTTGAGGGCATCATAGAAGAACTTGGCCACAAAGATGGAGCTAATATGGTTTTCTTGTGGTTAATGCCTCGTCTGAAACTTAATAATGGTCTGAGGGTGATTGAAAACGATGCTGATTGTATGGAAATGGTGAGTTATTTGCCTGAAAATAGAAGTATATGTGCCTATTCTAAGGGGAAAAAGAATGAAGAAACAATTGGAGATTTATTCACTACATCTAAATTATCATTTATCTACCCACAAAAACTGTAACTAAAACTCCAAAAAACGTAGCTATAACCCTTCTAAATATTATAATTATACATTAAATAACATAGTTACTGTATTACGTAACTAACGATAACCAGCTACGTTTATAATTATATTGTTACAATTTTTAAATGCGTAGGTATAGGCCGTAGAGAACTTATACCTGCATTTACAAAATCGGAATGAAACCTCTCGTTTTCTGCGGCTGGAAACGGCCAAGGGGTTGTGCAACTGATCTGATCTCTTTTTTCCAAAACCCAGATCTGCCAATGATCCCCGCCTTCAAACCCAGATCCGTTCTCCCATCTGCTCCCTTTCTTTCCAGTGGCTGTGGCCGGCTGGTGATGATCAGTGAAGATGATGAGATCGAAAAGATGATCGTTGAAGACGGTGAGATGAGATGAAAAAACACGGGGATCTACAATTGGGGGTACGGTTGGAGAACATAATTTTATTTTATTTTTTTCTGTGTGGCTGCCTGCCCCCCCTTCAAAAAATAAAAGGGCTTGGTTTAGTTTTTGGTGAATCGGTCAAAAATGGGCTAACTTTGGACTTTGCTGAAATGGGTTTGCGTTTGGGTCCAATTAAGCCTCTTTCTAATTTTCCAAATTTGATCGTCCATCTTGATTACACGTGCACTCAACTCAAGTCCAATTTCAGCATTTTCTTTATCATAAGCGAGTCCCTGAAACATAGAAAATAAGGTTAATTAAGATTTATTCATTATATAATTTTTTTTTTTTTTTGCAAAAAATTAAGTTATAACAGGATAAATTTTTTTTTTTGAACATGGAAAAATTCTGTGGCAAAGAGGTGTAATAGGTGGGAGTGGAACTCCCAACCTATAGAAGCCAAGCTATTTAGGCTTGGTGGGTGAACTAACACTACAAGATAAAAAGTTGGTCAAACTCTTAATTTGGTCCTTGAATTATTATACAGATCTCTGATTTGGTCCCTACTGTTTACCAATTTGCCTTAAATTAGTCATTCCGTACAAAAAACAGTTGACGTGTCCATTATTTAATGGTGAAAAACAGTAAGTTAACGACGAAAAATAATAATTTAATGATCACATGTTACGTTAATAACAAGCCATGTTAGCTGTTTTTGTACAGAAAGACCAACTTGGAGCAAATTGGTAAATAGTAGGGACCAAATTGGGGATCTATACAATAGTTTAAGGATCAAATCAGGGATTTTTTTAGTTTAAAGACCAAATTTGAGGTCCGTACAATAGTTTAAGGACCAAATTAAGAATTTATCCTAAAAAGTTTAGAATAAATGTGCATAAATCTAGGAGCAAAGTCATATTCTCATTCAATATTTAAGCATGATATACACGAAATGAATCAAGAACAAAACACCTAAGTTCAGCAGCAACTTTGAGTTCCAGAAATAAACTCAAACTTCCCTTTTTGCCCTTAGTTCCTCAAACCCGAAGATCTCAGTACTCTTCGAATTTTTTCTTTTTTCTTTTTCACTCCTTCTACCTCTCTTCAACCTTTTTCCATTTGGTTTCTCTTTTTTTTTTTTTCTTTTTTTTTATTCCCCTTTTTCTTTCGAAAGCCCTCTCCCTTTTATAAGCAAAATCGAAGGAGGGAGAAGCAAAACCTCAGCCATCCGAACCTTCAATCCCAATGGTTCCTAGCCCTAGATTTGCCACCCCCTAAAGCCCTAGATTCTTTCAACTTGCTTCAGATCCATGGCTTGAGGGGATGAACAGGTCAGTGACATGGCCTCCACGTAGATTTCTTCATATGGGGTGGAAGGGAGCAATAATGATTGAAAGAGGAAAAGATCGATTTAGGGAGAAAGGGGGAGGAATCCACCTTCTTCTCCCTGCAAGTGGCGACACAAAGCGAGGAAACAACGTCATGGAATAAAAATAGAAAAACGAACTACTTGTCCCTTTTATTTTTCATCCCTTTTGGATCAAAAGGATATCGCTTCAGTTTAATCTCTGTCAAAAGGATATCAAAAGTCCATAAGTTTTGTTTGCATGGCATTTTGGTCCCTCAGTTTAATCTCTGTCATAATTCGGTCCCTGCAAAAACATAACAGATATTTTAAATGGTTTTCAAGTAAGTACAAATTTGTCAATAAACTTGAATTAACCCGAATTTTTCTTTGACCATTTTTTCATTAATTTCAAAATCACATTAAAACTCAAATATTTTGAGAATTTTCATTTAAAAACATGAAGTATTTGTAACAGTGTATGTTGTTTAATAAATAAGAATTGATAACAAGAAAACTAGTTGTAATAAATAAATTTTATAATCATTCTTTTTCTTTTTAAAATAATATTTTGCAACTAAATTATATGTCATGAAAAAATACATACAAAAACCATTTTTAATGATGATAAAAGGGGTTTCCTAATTTTAAAAATTGTTTTATAAAACTGTGTTTAACAACGAAAAATATTATTGTAGTATAATAATTATGACAAAAAATTTATAGTTTTGTAAATTCATATCTACTAACACTTTAAATAGTTACAATATTAATATGTAAAAATATCAAATTTATTGTAAATAATGTACCTATTAACAACTTGCGATACTCCTAAAAACACAATATTGTAAAGTTGAATATTTTGTGTGGTATAAATGCTTACACTGGTGGAGGATCTTCTCGGTTCAGGCCAAGAATTGCTATGAAACTTTCGAGCAACACTCTCCTCCTTTTAAAGATTAATTAGTGAGAAGCGGGTGGGATGTGGTGTGGTTCTCTATTATATGGTCCCTGTGGATGGCCAGGAATGCAAAGATATTCAGGAATCAAAAGTATGATGCAGACAAAATTTTCAAATTAGTGCAGCTTCGAGCTTTCTACTGGATCAAAGTAAAGGTACTTGCCTACTCTTTTAGTTTGTATGGATGGATGCTGGAACCGGCCTTGAGTTTGAAAGATAAAAGGAGTAAATAACTTGGGCTGGAAAAACGGACTATTCTGTTTTGTATCTTGGTGTCTGTTGATGCTCTTTGTGGTGTTGTACATTCTTTGGTGGGATCATAAAGCTGCATTGTTGGATGAGTAGATACAACACTTCATTGTATTACGAGCAAAAGTATCCCTTGTCCCCCATTTAAAAAAATTCATTTTTTCTATGCAAAATATATATATATATATATATATTGTAACAAACTTAGGGCTTTTAAAGAACAAGTAATTTGTATTTTAAATTTTACATACTATACAATGCTATATCAAATTATTATTAAATTATATTTATTCAAAAATAATCAATATTTTGGACTAATAAAAA